AAAAAAAGGCAAGAGGTCTGGAATTAAAACATAAAAAGCAAACCTTTAGAAATTTCCGGTAAAGTTCAGAGGAATACGGTTCATTTAACTGACCTTATTTTGTAGTTTTTTTTAACCGTTTCTGGTCCAACAAAAAGTCTCATTCATCGTCCTCCGGTGCACTGAAACCGTCGAAGTCCTCTTCAGTTTCGGAGTTAAACAAGCTCAGAAAAGCTGCGTCACACAGCGGTAAGCTGTGGTGGGAAAGCCCTCCCGCTCCAGCATACGTCACTGCATGGGATTCCTTCCCCGGGGAGTGCAATGTGGGAAAAAAAAGTCCGTGGCTCTTCGCTCGACGTTTATCAACAAACTAGTCCTGGATTAAGCTCCAAAATTTTTATCAGTCAGATTTCACCGTGAAAAATGTCTGTTTTATCCCCTTTTATTAGTTTTTGGCCATTGACTATCTTTAAATCGCTGCTTCCTGGTCAACAGTCGGCTCTGGAAGCGATCGCTTTTATCTTTTTTTTTCTTCTTTTTTTGAAGGGAGTGGTTGAAGCAAAAGGAGCATAAGAGCCCCCTGGTGGCTGAAGAAAAAAATCCATGTATAAACCGCATGGTTCAAAGTTCAGGAAAAGAGTCGCGGCTTATAGTCCGAAAAATACGGTAAGTGTTTCGAGTGCTTCAAGACATGGAAGAGTGATTTTTGTGGCCAGGAGAAGTAAAAATATTTGGATAAAAATACTTCCGGTCGCCATTTTGAATCGCTAATTTCGTCATATTTGAGGACTATGCATCAAATGTGAGTGAAAAACAAATATTTTTTCGCTGCTGGTGGTTTTATGAGCTTTGTGGAATGTTAATGCTTTGAGAGAAATAAGGATATATTGGTTTATTCTTGTGGTTTGGCTGGTTATTGGTGGAAATTTGGCTGAATGTACTCCAGTTGGAGTAAATATTTCTGAATATTAATATATGTCTTTTAACTTAATCATGCTGTGAGTAAATATGGATGGTATAATGTGTTTTGTGGGGGTTTATCTATAATTTGAGCCCAGAGTGAAGTCCCTGTGTTGAAGCATTTAGAAATTATACAGTGTTTTAGACAAAGTGTACAGTCTGGACATAGTGTACAGGTGTACAAATATGCAAATGAGACATGCTGGATTGTACTATGTCTCAAATATTCTTATTTTACGCTACTGTTACCAAATTTGAACTGGTAATAGTTGAGAATTAATATTTTAGCCCAGTAAGATTTGTTTGATAATATCTCATTCCCTTCATATTCTGTGATACTTTATTAATAAAAAATAAAAATTTAGGGAGAAAAATATCTTGATTTTTGTGTATTTTACTTCAATATACTAAATACCAGTTACAAAGAATATGACTCCTGAAGTTAAAAATTCAGATTATTAGCTTTAAAAAGAGACCAGGCTTGTGAATTTACTCTAAAGGGTTCAAAAGCAGTACTTCATTTAATTTTTGTCTACTTTTTAAAGCATTTTATGATATTTTATGCCCAAAGATTATCATTTTTATTAGTGTTAATATTTTCTTACTGCAACAACATGATGTCTGCAGGTAACAGGGTTCAAGGTTCCCATTCCCAGTGCAATTTTTTGGATTCATGCTTTGTTTTTGTTGTAGACATTTATTTTAAACTCTTAATTTTAAACATGGAAAAGACTAATTGAGCTGTGACCCCAGCTTGACCTCTCTGTTTCATATAACTGACATGTTAAATCTGTTAGCCCGCAGCCTGGACCACTGGTACACTTGCTGATGAAAATGTGTCCACAAAGTTTATTTCTGTTGCTCTGATTTGGAGCTACATCTCTGAGGCTCACCTCCAGCCATGGCTGTCCTTCCTTCAGATGTTACCGTCACGGCTGTGGTCGCTACAACGTACTTCACTCCTATTAGGAAAAACAAAAACAAATATTTCATTCAACAAACACAGAAGCATTCTTTTTTTTCATGACAGTCAGCTCCTCATAGAAATATTAAAAGTTTGGAGTTGTGCAAATGATCACCTTTGTCATTGACGGCGTAGTAAAAAAATTTCCCAGGAGTGTTCTCCACAGCCAGACGGTACCACAGAGGGAAGTGATCAATGGTGAACAGGTTGGCTTTATCAGAAGGAGTCAGGAACTTCCTGTGAGGAACAAGTTCAACATCAGACAATATCTGAAACCATGTAGATGTCAAAATGTGGGAATTTTCAATCATTTTTGACAAAGTTTTTTGTAAATGTGGCACCATGAAGGAGATAAATATATGAAAATGGTAGCCCCCC